GGGTGTTGATTGAAGGGTATTGATGATGATCGGAAGGGTATTGATGAGAAGCTCCATGTGCTCTTTCCTCAGTGACAGCCTCTCCCTCTGGGAACCTGCGGACCGGTAGTGTGCTGACCCTCAGGTGTGGGCTGGACTGTGGAGCTGGACTGGGAAGCTGCTCCAGGGTTCCCGAGGGACTGACTGTGTCCTGGCGGAGAGATCAGGATCTCGTGGGGAAGGTGGACACGGGCAGATCCCAGATCAGAGATTTCAGGACATACAGTCAGCTCTCAGTGACTCTGCAGAGATCAGATCACAACAAGAACTGGGTCTGTGTGCTGGCGAAAGGAACCGAGCTCAAGACCTATGATACCTTCACCTCTGTACTCACAGGTGGGCGCTGAGCTGTCAAATTCTCCTCCTCCTCCTCCTCATCTTCTTCATCTTGCAGGTCATGTCCCAGTTCTGCCTCTTTAATTTCCCTGACCTGTTGCGACCTTGTTCTCCGATACCGCGTTCTCACATGACCCCTGTCCTCCTTTTTTCACGTTTATGTCCTTTTCTTCTTTAAGACATCGTGGTTTCCTCTGTTTCTCTGCTGCCTGGGGTCCATTCGGTCACCTACCCAAGCTCCAGGCCGCAGATCCCTTCCAGGACCTGTACAGCAGTGGGAGAGTACTGCTGGACACTAGGACAGCAGGAGTGGACACTGTCCCTCTGGGGCGAGGGGAGAGAACGGAGTGGGTTGGTCTTGAAAGTGTGGGAGTGTCTCAGTGTGTCCCTTGCTCTTCCTCCACAGATTTCACCCAGGACCTGTACAGCAGTGTGGGAGGATTCCTGCAGCTGCCCTGTGTGGACACTGTCCGTCTGGGACGAGGGGACAGACTGCAGTGGAGCTTCAGAAGATCTGGCACCATCACCTACCATGCCCTGTTCACATTACTGGGGAACGGAAGTCGGATCACGGGGATGGAGGTGGACGGGGACAGAGTGGACATGACGGTCAACTCCTCCCTGCTGATACGCAGCGTCCAGACGGGGGACAGCGGAGTCTACCTGTGTCTCCAGAACAAGGACAACCTTCAGGAGATCCACCTCAACACCTTGTCAGGTCAGGAGCCTCTGCCCTCACTGTAATTTGTCCTTTGGATCCTGCTGCTGGTCATCTGTGTTCATCCGAGTGCGGATTGTGTCCTGACAGACATGAGCTACCGGCTGCAGTCATATCGTCCTCTTTGTTTATGTCTGTTGTGGGAGGACCAGGGGAAGGGTCATTTATATCCTGTGTCCTGATGTAGCTCGCCCGTGTCTCCTTGCATAGGCCTTTTCCAGCAGCGGGTCAGCTGGTACTCCTGAGCTATAGATGGCGGCCATCTTGCTCAGGTCTATATCGAGTCTATTAAGCGTTTCGTTCCGGAAATACAGGTTCTAAATGACCCTGGTCCTCTTACAACTGTGAAGGCCTTTCCTGCAAATATTATTTCGTCTTGTAGTGTTATATCGTTGTATTTGCGAGCAATGTATACAACGTCCTATTTCTGTTGTACGCTGAGGAGTTACCAGCCTGGTCTGACAGGTATAGTACAGTATAGGGGGGGGGGCGCATATCTTTTGTTTTACTGCGCCTGTGAGTGAACTGTAGGACACGCCATTTTCCTCCAGAAATGGAACTAACAGATCAAGCTCAGTGACACACTGCAGCTTGGAATCCTGACTCCCTCGTGATGTCTGGGCGGCTTCTGGGCTGTCCTGTTGTTTTAGCAACTGTTTTAGGACGGTACCTGAGGACACGGCTCTGAGAGTGAAGTGTGTCCCTTAGTCATCACAGGGCTCTTCAATGACCAAAGTGCAGTGTCTGAATAAATCCCAAGTGTTCTTCCAAACAGGAGCTGGCCCGTTTTCCTTACAGACGTGGACACCTGGTCCACCCCCCAGTTATCGGAGTCTCCACTATCACAAGGCAGGACAGGAGACACAGTGAGAGAGAGGAGATCACAGGGAGTCCCTCAGTCAAAAACACACACAGCAGGACAGGAGACACAGTGAGAGAGAGGA